TGAACAGGAGATTATTCTATCTGCGAAAAGTTAAATATGTGAAATTTTTCCACAAATTTTTCCCTTCATTTTCGAAAAAATTCAAGTACTCATCTACTAAGCCAATTAACTAAACATTGTCAAAGTCTTTTTTAAACATGATTTTAAATGATGAAAATTGTATTCTGCATTGTTCACTTACTTTCACAGGTAAAATAACCCCTTACTAATTATACATTATTCTGTCTAGTCTAGAATTAGCCATATTCAAGTGTAATTAATAAATTTTCTATTTTTTTGAAAAGAAACCTTAAATGAAAAAATTTCGTTCTTTCCTTTTAACTTATTTTTTGATGTCCAATACTATGTAATTGAAAACACTCTGTATATAACTTATGTGATGATTATTGTCCAATGGCGTGCCTCCGTATTATTTTAAAAATACACCTGCTATAAACAAATTCATGCTATTTTATAATATCATGTAATCGAGTTGCGTAATTGAAAATTTGTTCATTTTAGGTGACTTGGATCAGGCGAAAAGACAGGCAACTATTGACACTGGGTACAGGAACTCATGTTATCGATACGCGATTCATGGTTGTGTCAAACAGTCCAGACTGGACTTTGTTGATTAAAAACGTTAAACGCGAAGACGCTGGACTTTACGAGTGCCAGGTAATTTAATATATAAAAATATCCAAACAGATATTGAAACAATTGAAAAAACGTATTCTTATCGAGACAGATTCAAACGGAACCGGTTCAACAACGATTTATTCGTCTAAGCATCACGGAGGCGTACTCTATAATTCCCGGAGGGCCGGATCTTCATGTCAAACAAGGATCTAGCCTTCGACTGGAATGTCAACTGATAGCATCGACTGAGGCACCAAGTTTCATCTTTTGGTATCGCGAGGGTCGCATGATCAATTACGACGATGAGCCAGGGGTGAAAGTTGAGGCTACGAAAAATGGCTCGATTTTTGTGGTTGACAAAGTGAAACTTTCTCACGGTGCTAATTATACTTGCTCACCCAGCAATGCCAAGCCAGCAAATATCATGATACATGTAATCGAAGGTCTGTTTTTCTATTTTTTTCATTTCTTTTTCCTTTACAAACATAAGATGCACAGGGTATTAATTTTCAGCCGATCATCTAAATTTTGGTTGTTATTAATATTAAGAAAATGTTAAGAGAAAATTACTAAATAAAATTTAAATAGTTTCAAGGCGTGCATTTGATGTTACTGAAAAAAATCCTGTCATTTTGATAATCCTTTTCATCATACTTTTTTGACATATTAACATCCATTTTTTTATGTTTTTCTATGTAAACTGTGTGATATTGCAGTGACCTGTAACACCATGATCTTGAAGTAATCTGGAAGACGAAAAAATCGATTTCATTCTAAGGAATATAAAAATAACATAATAAGAACAGTGACGTTTATTTCACGCAATGTTCAGAATGTTGATCGCAATAATTAATGAAATGTGAAATAATTAATATTTCGTGAAATAATTAAAAAGAATTGAAATAATTAATATTTCAAGACATGTCTGCATGCGATTAGCAAACGATTGAATGGCATTTCGATGGTATACTAGTAGAATGTTTATTAAACATCTGTACTTCAGACACTATTATAAATATGTAGTTTGAGTATACCGGAAGTATGTAGGTATTTATTAAATTGATCGAGAGTTTACTAACGTTTACTACGTTTACCAAAAAATTTTAATAAAGTTTTGTGATTATATGTATCGATATAGCAAATAGAAAAAAATAAATGTGAACTTCATAAAAAAACTTTGTTAACATTAATAAAGCCTTCAAAGTTACTTCAAAGTCATGGTGTTTAGCTCGCTTAATTTTTTTTGACTACGACGTATAATCATATTATAAAAAATAGATGTTAACATGTTATATACGATAACCTTGAAGAAAATTAAATCAAAATAATCTTTACAGATTTGTTTTTAAATGCACGCATTGGAACCATTTAAACCGTCATTTATTTAGTCATATTTCCTTAACATTAATAACCGAAATAATTTAAATGTTTAACTTAAAATTAACATTCTGTATTACGTTGCCGTTAGCAAAATCTTTCGTTCGGATAGTCGTTCTCTTCGCTCATTTACTTTTGCAATATTTAATTTTCATCCTAACTTTTTCACTTACTGTCTGTTTTCACTGAATAAACGTTATTTTCTCATTGTTATATCTCTGTTTGTAGAAGAGGAAAAACCAGCAGCTATGCACGGCGGTGATCGGCGAAATACTACGTCGAGAGCGTCCATCAACGTCATGTTGATTTTTCTGACTTCCCTCGGTGTACGCATCTCGAATCAACTTCGTCTGCGGCAAACCTGCATCACGTGACCAGCCTACTGTGTCAACTTTGTCACCGAATTGATGCCTGCCGCAAAATTCCAAATCATTTCGATTCCATTTCCTTTTGCTTTACAGTGTTACTTGCGCTTGAGCGGCTGCCGTTTAATTTTATCGGTGATTCGCTGAACAAATTTGTTGATTCAATCCGAAATTTCTTAGGTCACCCCTGAAATCTTCGCTTCAAATACTTAGTTGATGTGACATATCCGTTGCAAAATTTTTATACAATTTCAGGAAGCAATTTGATCAATTTACGAGACACCGCCATATTCGAAATCGATACGCCGGCGGAAATTTTCAAAATTCGATCTCCTGGAAATTAAACTTCGTTCCGTTGAATTAAATACGTCATTAAATACGTAACATATCTGCAATGCTACGTAAAAAGTTGAACAATCTTCCTGAAATATGCAATGAGACATAAACTTAAGCAATATTAAATCAAGTATTTATGATTATTGTTTATTTCGATGAATTCACATAAGACACTTGCATGTAACGATACGTTACCAAGTCGAGAAAAATAATCTATCCTGTTACATTATTAAACAGGAGGAACGTTTAATTAGAAACATTAATTTAATTAAACACGCGAGAAATTTCAGTAACGGAGAGGGAAAAAGATGCGAAACATTTTATCGCATTCAACACTCGCTTTCATTCTGTCGCAAGTCGTGTATTTTCTCGTGCAAACAAAAATGATGAAAACTGTCTCGTGCAAATAATCGTCGGATAGAAAATCGTAGAAAAATCAATTCCATATAACAACGGCACGTTGACAAAGAATTGAAAAGACATTGTCGAGCGTTCAGGCAAACTTGATCCGTTAAAAATGTCGCGGAATATCACTTTATACTGTTTGCCGTTTGAATTAACAAAAGCGAATCCGACAAATTCTAAAGTATAGAAACTGCCTATTCACGTTTCACGAAAAGCTTTGCAAATTAACAAATGTTCAGGCGAACTAAATCATACAGTCCAATGTGGCCTCGAAATTTTTTTTACTACTCGTAAATTCACAGCAATTTCAAACAAACACGATTATATTCGGAAACCGTGTGAACAGTCTAACGAAAAAAAAAATTAAAGTACGAAACGAATAAAAAAAGAAAAAGATTTAAAAAATCGTAGACAAATAAAAAATTCCTTGTCTACTCAGTTTTATCGTTTGATATGTTTTTTTTTTTTTTCTCCTTTTTTAGGAAAATACTAAATGTGTTCAACAAACGATAACTGGACGAGATAAGAACGTACAATAATCTTTTGTTTAATATGCTTTCGTCGGAGGAAAAGAGGAACACCTCTTCTATATACTCTAATACTCGAATCATCATTTTTCAAATATTAGAAATAATAAATGTTATCAATGCGCAAACACACCTGTATGTTAATTCCAAATATAATATCTGCTCTAAACTTGAAAAGAAATTTCCTTCGCGAAATACAAAAGATTTTGCAATATCTTTTTACAGAAAACGAAAGCATTACGCGTGTCTCAATAAATAACAACATTATATATTTATTATATATTTACTGTTGTATGTTCAATGTTTTATCAATTTCGTTAATTGAGATGCTCCTTATATGTAATATCATAGAACACATTAACAACAGTTCCATAATCGAAAATTGTATTAATTAATATTTATATATTCGATTCGTTTCGTTTAATAATGATACATAGACGTGTCGAGTGATTTTAATATAAACGTTGAAGATTCGTTTCCGTTGTCTCGACAGAGAACGTATGAATTGTAAAAGTAGACTCGTAGAATAAAATAAAGCGTCGGATTTTCATCTCTACGGTATACAGAAAATAAATTGAACATTTTCAATCAATCATGTAATAATTATTTTACGAGAGATACGCATCTGCGACCGACATAAATCCAAAGGTTAAATCGTATCACTGTGATTGCACCTCGAGGAATTTTACTTCCAAACTATACAATGCAATGACCTTTGTTCTACCTACATGGTAATGTATAGTAAAGATATATGTATCATCCGTCGAGAACACACCTAATCGCGTATTACGAAGTAAGTACTTGCAAGATGTTTAACGGGGAAATTATGGCCAATGGAAATGTTAATCCGTCGAGAATCCCAATGGAAATTCGTATGTAACATGACCGTGGTGGTTAGTTTCCCTACAATCCTTGCAACGATTATCGTCGATCGCCAAATTGTCGAACATCGTGAAGCGAAGGTAAGTAATATGGGCTTGGTACGCGTACAAAATTCGAAACTTCCGTTAGTCACGTTTCGGACATCTAATCGATTCGCTACCTTAATCAAGCGGTCGCCAATAATCGTAGCTTATACCGTAACATTAATCAAAACTCAGTAGAGGATGTATAAATTCAGCTAATTCAGTATCTGAGACTACTCTGAAGACAGAAGTATTCTAATACTTGATGATTCTCAGTTTTTGAAAAAAATCAATTGAATCAAAAGAATGCGATATTTCAGTTTTCAGATAGATACTTTTTACGTTTTAAATGTAAAAGTTATTCAAACTTCTTTTGCAGAAAATGAAATATTCTATAGAAACCTTTAATTTAATGGTGTATATTTTTAGTACATAAATATTTAAACATATTTAAACCACAATCGGGCATTATTTGAATAAAACGTTTGAAAAATGATTATTTAAATAATATATTATCTATTTTATTTAATTCGATGTTATTTTGAAATAATCATTTGAACAAACAAACGATTTGTCTCTGAATTATTTTATCATTTAGTTATCAAATGAAATAACTTTTCATTTTATTTTTTATTCTATTTTATTTATAATATCAAGTCAAACAGTGTTTGAGAAATTATTTGCATATAATCTTCACTTCAGCAGTGAAAAAAATCTATTTATTAGATCTTTTCAATTTATTTTCAATGAACTAGATCAAATAGAAGATTATTTGGAAGTAATTCATTGAACACAAAATAAAGTTACTATTAAAATGAAAATAATTCGTTATTTTTTATTATTATTCAAAATAAAATTTACCTATATAACTCTGGTTTAAATAATATTCAAAATGAGGAGGACATTTGAAATTTTTTTAAATTTATCTTGAAATTATGACTGTAGGAAATAATCTAATTACAGCATGCGACAGAGCAGATTTTTCTTGGAAAAATTAAAAAAAAAAAAATTCCTGTACAAATTTTATTTTCGATTAAAAAATCAAAATACATAATTCTAGACACGATTACTCACCTCATTTTTGTCTGCTTTACTGTTATATTTATTATTTATATGTTATTTATATGACAGAAATAATATATTTATATATTTGACTTAGATATTAGTGTTTTCAAGGAAAACAAAAATGTTTTGTAAATGCATCACAATGAAATATATTACGTAAAAAAAAAAAAA